TGCAAGATCATGACCTGAGCCGAAGTCGGATGCTTAACCGACAGAGCCACCCAAGCGCCCCTAAACAATTTAAGGTTCGATTCTCTAAGTAACCACGTGATTTAGGCTTTTCCTTCCTCGGGAAACGTATCATTCTACAGTAATCTGATACGTCGTGCCTTGATCTTATCCCATGAACCTGAATGCCAGGTTTATGTTTAAATGCTAGTGCTTTTGTAACATTAACATAATGAGTGAATACGTTTTATTTATTTTTGAAGATTTTATTTTTAAGTAATCTCTATGCCCAACGTGGGGCTCAAACTCACGACTCTGGGATCAAGAGCCGAACGCTCCACAGACCGGGCCAGCCGGGAATCCCGACTGAGTGTGTTTGAAACATATTATTACCAATGCCCAGGTTATGTTTACCAGTTGGAATGATTTTACTAAATGTTTTGAGAGTTTTGCATTGTGAGACTCAATCAAGATATTAACGTGAGTAGACTGTCGATCTGTTACCACTTGGAGATCCCCTAAAATCAGTCACTGTCTGCTTCATCTTTTTATGCCCATGGAAGTGCCATATTTTCTTTGGACATCATCAGACTTCCTGGGTGTTTGAGTAATGTTCTTTTTTTTAAATTTCTTTTAATTTTTTTTTGAGAGAGCGAGCGAGCAAGCACGAGAACAGGGGAGGGGCAGAGAGAGGGTGACAGAGGATCCGAAGCAGGCTCCGTACTGACAGCAGAGAGCCCAGACATGGGGCGTGAACCCACAGACTGTGAGATCATGACCTGAGCTGAAGTCGGACACTAAACCAACTGGGCCACCCAGACACCCCTTCGAGGAATGTTTTAATGTTTAAGGAGTTTTGCCGTTTTGTCAACTCTGGTATGTCGTTAATATCGTATCCATATTAAATTTTCTTGGATATGTAATGGAGGAGCCTCTGGATATGTAGTTCATTCTGTGAGGCAGGAAGCTAGGCACGGGCGACGGGAGGGTGGGCCTTAGACGTCCCTGACAGGGAGCCCCAGCCGAGGGCCGCCCAGGGAACACCCCAGTGCAGCCACCTAGGAGTCGGTGTGCGGTTACAACATCCCAGCAGAGGAAGAGCTGTCTGTTAAGCTTCTTGCCCTTGTGCAGAGAGCAGCGCTTGTCCTTACCTGACCTGCGCCTCTAGAATAGAAATGATGCGGTTTCCTACTCCATGCAGGCACTTCCCCTACCTCTTGGGTTTGGTTTTGTTTTTTGAACTTATTTTTGAGAGAGCGCAAGCAGGCGACGGGCAGAAAGAGCGGGACAGAGGATCCGAAGTGGGCTCCACGCTCACAGCAGTAGGCCCGATGAGGGGCTCGGACTCCCGAACCGTGAGATCACGACTTGAGCTGAAGTCGGATGCTTAACCTGAGCCCCCCAGGTGCCCCTCGAGTACATCCCGGGAAAGGACAGGAGGAGTCGGCTGATTATTACATTATCAGGGCCTGTCAGGCTGTGGGCTCTGCGGACTGGCGCGCTCCTCCCCACGAACGGACTTTCATAAAACCTTGTCTGCTCTACCTGCGCTCTGCTGTCCTCCAATTCTTCATTGTGGCAGAGAAAAGACCCGAGGCCCCTTTCCTTTCCCATCTCCCTCTTGGTAACAATTCGAGCCTCTGGGCTTTTTTTCAAGAACTTTTTAAAAAAAGTTTATTGGGGCGCCTGGGTGGCTCGGTTGAGCATCCGACTTCAGCTCAGGTCATGATCTCGCAGTTTGTGAGTTCGAGCCCCGCGTCAGGCTCTGTGCTGACAACTCAGAGCCTGGAGCCTGCTTCCGAGTCTGTGTCTCCATCTCTCTCTGCCTCTCTCCTGCTCATTCTCTGCCTCTCTCTCTGTCAAAAATAAATAAACTTTAAAATAAATAAATAAATAAAATTTTAAAAAGTTTATTTATTTATTTTGAGAGCAGGAGAGTGAGCGAGAGTGGGAGAGGGGCAAAGAGAAAGGGTGAGAGAGAGAATCCCAAGCAGGCTCCTCACTGGCAGAGTGAAGCTCGACGCGGGGCTCGAACCCACTAACTATGAGATCATAACCTGAACCGAAGTCTGACTGACTGAGCCACCCAGGTGTCCCAAGACTTTTTCACTTTAAGTGGTGGGAAAGTTCAGGGAAGGCATGGAAGTATAAAGTGACTTGGGCAAGTAGAAACAGAATTTAGTTTTAATGATTTTTTTAAAAGTTTCTTAATGTTTATTTTTGAGTGAGAGAGAGAGAGAGAGAGAGACAGACAGACAGAGCACAAGGAGAGGAAGGGCAGAGAGAGAGAAGGAGACACAGAATCAGAAGCAGGTTCCAGGCTCTGAGCTGTCAGCAAAGAGCTCGATGTGGGGCTTGAACACAAAGAACTGTGACCTGAGCCGAAGGTGGATGCTTAACCGACTGAGCCACCCAGAAGTCCCGAAATTTTGTAAATATTCTATGTGAACTTGAAAATAATAGGTACCCTATAGCTGGTAGGTATAATATTCTATACATGCCAGCATGATCGAGTTTGTTAACTGTGTTGTTAAAATCTATATCCTTACTAGATATATTTTAAAGCTGACAGCAGAGAGCCCGATGCAGGCAGGGTAAGCTCTATGCCCAACATGGGGCCTGAACTCACAACCCAAAATCAAGAGTCACGTGGTCTATCAACCGAGTCAGCCAGGAACCCCTCCTGAGTAGATTTTTTGACTACTTGTTTTATTAGTTACTAAGAGGGCTATGGAAACTGTCCTTCTATAGAGTGGGATTATCTTTTCCTTTGAATTTTGTCAATTTTTGCTTTATGTACTTGGAAGTCATCATCAGGTACATATAAGTTTCAAATTATTATCTTGAAATTATAACTTTTCATCAAGAAGCAAACTTCTTTATATCCCATATCTGTTGCCCTGAATTTTACTGTCAGATATTAATATAGCTGTCAGACCTTCTGTTATTTTAAAACTTTGCCCTGTATATTTTTCATACATTTAAAACTTTATATATTCAGGATCCTTTAATATTAAATGTGTCTCTTCCATTCATCATAGAGTTGGGGTTTTATTTTTCATCCAGTTTGGCAATCTTTGCCTTTTATTCAAAAGAGCCCGAAGTGGGCTCCACGCTGACAGCAGTGAGCCTGATGCAGGGCTTGAACTTTATTAATGTTAAATATAACTACTGATTTGGGGCACCTGGCTGGCTCCATCGGTAGAGTATTCAACTCTTGATCTTGGGGTTGTATGTTCAAACCCCGCATTGGGTGGAGAGATCATTTAAAACAATAAAATCTTGGGGGGGGGGGGAATAAAACAATAACATCTTGGAGCACTTGGGTGGCTCAGTTGGTTAAGTGTCCAACTTCGGCTCAGGATATGATCTCACAGTTTGTGAGTTCGAGCCCCAAGTCGGGCTCTGTGCTGACAGCTCAGAGCCTGGCGCCTGCTTCGGATTCTGTGTCTCCATCTCTCTCTGCCCTGTCCCTTCTCATGCTCTGTTTCTTTGTATCTCAAAAATAAACATTAAAAAAATTTTTTTAATAAAAGAACCACGGTTTTTGTCATCAGTCTTACAATAATTGGATTTTTATAATGGGAACTGTTTTTAACCATAAATCAAACAAAACTAACGATAAAACATATCAAGCCATCTAGACTTCTAAAAAGTTCTCTCATGCCAAGAAGCAAGCCAACATCCAATCGGGCCTCCATTCAAAGTAGGGAGCACTAAGTAGGCTAAGGCGAGCCCAGTAGTCAGTTCAAGGTGTGGAGCACAGACGCAGGGAAAGTCCTAGCTAGTGACACGGAAGTGAAGTGACTTGATTGTGCATAAAGACGGAAGAGATGACGAAGTGATCAGAGGAGATGCAGTGGTGGAGCGTAGCGAAAAGGGCAGGGGTAGAGCTGTTGGAAACCAAGACTAAGAACTAAGAGTCCAGCAGGAAAGAAGCAGGTGCACATATTTTTATGTTTAGGACGTGTCACGGCAAAATGTTACGGTTAATTTTCTGCTCTCTTTGATAAGCCCTGTCTCTGTCGATACTGACGTCATATTGCACCTAAGTGAGTTAACCTGGGACCCAGAAGCCCGTTTTAGTATTTGCACTACCAAGCAGCAGATGATCTCAGACTGAAATCCCTTGACGTCTTTGGTCTTCAGTTTCCAATTCCATAAAACGGAGGTTCAACTTAGAAAATTCGAAGTCAAGTTCAGATAAAAAAATCCCATCATCCTAAAAGAAGACTGTTCCCCTCTCACTCGGGTATCGCTCGTCCATGCGTTTGCCCGCACACACTAGAGACGGATGGGTGACGCTGACTCCCTCTCCTGTAGAGGTGGGTAACTAGCTACAGTGCTCGCCCAGGCTGGTCACGAGCTCGCCGTTACGTCCAAATTCCCACAAGACCATGTGCAATCACGTGGAGACAGCACTTGGGATGAAATCTATTTGCCACCCTATAAATCCATAAGCAAGTTATGACTTCCAGTATACTTCAAACACTTTCCTAGCGAAGTTTTTACATTTTTAAAGAAACTCTGATAATTCTCTCCTATGAATAAAATGGGGACTCTCACATTTTTGGACCGATTAGATGAACAGAATAGGATATAAATACTGTGAAGATAATCTGAATATGCCAATTTATGTACTTCTGGATTTTATTCATTCCGGATCACTTTTCATAACCACTGTTAACACGACTTCCTTAGTCAGAGGTGCCAACGCTAGGGGGCCTACCTTCACGCAAACTGTCAACGAACCCAGCAAACCCATTAATCCCGTTCAACTGGACACTCGGTGGCATAATGAGGTCTGGGGTAATGAACCGCATTGCACTGACAATTTGCTCGGCTGTGTTCAGTACAACGAGAGATAAAGATAGCAAGTGAGGATTTAACAATAACGTTTACCTCAAGGTTTTCGTCTGTAAAAAATTTGTACCTCCTCAGATAACAGAAGTCCCCACCATTTGAAAATTAAACAAGCAAACAAAAAAGAGAAACATCCTTACCAATTTTTCTGCTTCGGTGTTCATTTCCCTTAATTTTTTGATGTGTTCCTTTTTAATCATGAGGATTTTTGATAATTTGGTCTACGGACAAAGACAAAGAAATGTTTTGGAATAAACAGCGGCATTTAAGTAAAAGAGACATCAAATTACCAATTTCTCAACTGTGGTATTTTAGCAGATTTTGGCATTTCAAAATAAATAAATGTAGCACAGGCGTTTTTATTTTATAAATCTGATTGGCTGGCAGCAAAATGTTAAAAAAAAACAACCCACTGTAACCAGGACATGTCAAAAGGACTAAGCAGTCAGCCTGAACACGCTTTCATTGGCCCAACAGGGGACAATTCAGGGGCCAATAAGAATAACCCCTTCGATGGATGGAAGCACAAACGTGTTGAAACTTAGGAGTTCAAACCGATGCCGTAAAACCATTGATCATTACTGGAGAATGCTGGTGACCAAACTCATTATTTTATAAGCTGGAAGACAAAGAGAAAGAATCCTGTGTTTACCCTGTCTTCCTATACAAACCATACAAACCAGATCATCGGGTAACCGGATAATAGGTTAGGGGAAGTTTTTCTTTATAAAGCTATTTCAGTTAATAAACAAAAAAGGACTGACAGAACGAGAGCAGTGCCACGCTGCGATGCGAATGAACGGTCACATCGAGGCACTGATCGTCACCGCGGCCACGTCACATAAAGGAACATAGAAAATGTGCGGGTGTCCTGTCAGAACAAAAAATTCCCACAAAAGTAGTTTCTTCAACAAGTCGTATGGGAAAAAGAACATTCGACGACCTTAAAGTGTATTTATTTTGAGAGAGAGAGAACACACGCGCACGCAAGGACAAAGCGCAGAGAGAATCTCAAGCAGGCTCCGGGCTGTCAGCACAGGGTCTGATGCGGGGCTCAAACCCACAAACCGTGAGATCATGGCCTGAGCCGATGTCGGACACTTCACTGACCGAGCAGCCCAGGCGCCCCTCTTTTTCTGTCTTTTAATTATTACTATTATTTTTTTAACGTTTATTTTTGAAAGAGAGAGAGCGTGTGCGTGCGTGCGAGAGGGGGAGGGGGCAGAGAGAGAGAGAGAGAGGGACAGGGGATCCAAAGTGGACTCTGCTCTGACAGCAGGGAGCCTGACACGGGGCTCGAACTCACAAACCGTTAGATCACGACTTGAGCCGAAGTTGGTCGGTCACCCAACTGAGCTCACACAACTTAGTTGTGTTTCTTTAAAAAAAAAACAAACAAAACAACGGGGCACCTGGGTGGCTCAGCTGGGTGAGCGTCCGACTTCGGCTCAGGTCATGATCTCGTGGCTTGTGAGTTCCAGCCCCGAGTCGGGCTCTGTGCTGACCGCTCAGAAGCTGGAGCCTGCTTCGGAGTCTGTGTCTCCCTCCCTCTCTCTCTGCCCCTCCCCTGCTCATGCTGTCTCTCAATAACAAATATTGTTAAAAAAATTTTTTATAAAAAAAAGAAAAAAAGAGCCCTTATCTCTTAGAGATAAATGAATGCATTTACATATAAAGGATATGATATTTAGTGTCCGCTTCTCAATAATGCAAAAGGGAGACAAGGGTGGTAGCAGCAATGATATCGGACCAGCCAGCTGGTGGACGGGCACACGGAGACATAGTGAACGAAGCTACTTCTTTTAAGTCTGTACATTTTCAACATTAAGGCGCCCTAAGAAATTGGCCTCTAAGTTGATCCGGGCAGAGGTGCTGGTAAGACATGCCCCAGGACTGTCATGGGACCGACTGTATTTAGTGACTGTATTTAGATCTCTGGACAGGCCTCCCTTCTCCTCCAAGGTGCTGGATTTTCATGGAACTATGTGTGATTCTTTAGAGTTGGAAGCAGCAAAAGATGGCAAGGGTCCCTTTTTTGCTTCTATTTCAGTTTTGTTTGCCTTTGATAGAAAGTCATGACGTTTCCTTTGAATTCTTTTCAAAACTGAGTCTTCTCTGAAAAAGCAGACCAGTCTCTTTAGATTCCTCAAAGTCCCTAACCCCAGGAAATAAAAAGTTTCCTCGAGGGACGCCTGGGGGGCTCAGTCGGTTAAGTGTCCGACTTCAGCTCAGGTCATGATCTCACTGTGGGTTTGAGTCTCACTTCGGGCTCTGTGCTGATGGCTCAGAGCCTGGAACCTGCTTTGGATTCTGTGTCTCCCTCTCTCTCTACCCCTCCCCCACTCATGCTCTGTCTCTCAAAAATAAACATTAAAAAAAACATTAAAAAAAAGTTCCCTCGAAAAGAAAATTCATTGTAAACTATGAATTATGAAAACTTGCCAAATTTTTTAGTATTTATTTTGTCATAAGAAAAAATATTCAAAACAGAAGAAGATAAAAACATATCTACTTCAGAGGTGTCTGGCTGACTCAGTCAGTAGAGGGTGCAACTCTTACTCTCCAGGTCATGAGTTCAAGCCCCACTTTGGGCAGAGAGATTACTTAAATATGTATATATTTCAAAGCTTGAATAAGCAACCTGCGTTTCATGGAACCTTACATAACACAAAAGACTAGTACATAAAAGAACTTTTACCTTTTAGATAGCTTAAAATAATAATGAAATTAGTGTTTTAATGGAGGTTTACACCTAGTTTTTGAATTTTAAGATTAAGCACTGAAACCAAACATCTAAGCATTACTAAAAATATCAATGCTTTAGAAGTAGTGTAGTAGTACTTAGCTTCTGGCTCCCTCTGCTGGTCAGTGTCTCTCTCTCTCTCTCTCTCTCTCTGTCTCTCTGTCTCTCTGTCTCTCTCTCCCTCTGTCTCTCTCTGTCTCTCTCTGTCTCTCTCTCTCTCTCTCACACACACACACACACACACACACACACACTTGTCCAAATAGGACATATTAGCTTCGTTTTTACTTCCACTATTTAAAAGAAAGAAGTTCTTTAAAAAATGACGTGTCCTATTTGTGAACATATGATCAAGGAATACTAACTGTTATACATACCCACATAAATGACACAATTTTCCCTTAAAATAACATCAATTTTGCAAGTGGGAACACTGAATATTTTAACAAATTATGTTATGGACATTTTTTTTTTTTTTTTTACTCTACCCCCACCCAGCCAAAGTGGTTTTTCTTTTCAAAAAAGGAAGAGAAACAAATCAAACATTATTAGACTATGATTAAAAGTAAATCATTTATTTAATGGCATATTCAAAGAAAACAGCTCATTGCATTCTTCTGAATCAGGCTCTTCGGGAATCTTGTTCTACAGAAGATTCTACACTCGCTTCAGGTGGGGCTTGCATGTCTCAGTGTCTGATCGCTACTTAGCAACCTGATGCATCAGGACAGCTCAGCTGACGGCGGCAGGATGCGCTGAGGTCACTAAATACAAGCCTTCAGGAGCACCTGGATGGCTCCGTGGTTAAGCGTCGGACTCTTGGTTTCCTAACCGCTTCTTTTATTATTATTTTTTAAGATTTTATTTTTCAGTAATCTCTATGCCCCACATGGGGCTTGTAACTCACAACCCTGAGATCAAGAGTCAGGCACCCCTCTTCTTCTGGGGTGCCTGGGTGGCTCAGGCAGTTAAGTGTCCAACTCTTGATTTCGGCTCAGATCATGAATCTCATGGTTCATGGGATCGAGCCCCGTGTCGGGCTGCGTGCTGACAGCACGGAGGCTGCTTGGGATTCTCTCCCTCCCTCTCCCTCTCTCTCCGCCCCACCCCGTGTGCACTCTTTCTCTCTCAAAATAAATAAACAACAACAAAAAAAACCCTCATACTTAACCAGTTATTAAGTTAACCATTCAGAATGTGACAGAGCATATGCTGTAATGTTAGAGGCCCTAACACAGCAAAATAGGAAGAACCAAACCTAAGAAAAGCTCAACAAAGAAGACTTCTGAGTCTTTTTTTGCCTGTTGTGACTTTTACTTTCCAGCTTTGTTGGAAATAACAAGAGTTCTTAAAAACAACACAATGATTTAAAAAAAAAAAAAGGAAAAATATTTGGTCATTGACAAATTTTCAGCTTTAACAACACAGAAGACACTGAGTGTTTTTCAGAAGCACGCCAAGCTACTCTGAGCAATTCTTACCACTTGGATCAGGAACTCCACGGGGAAACCGCCTAACGTCTCAGTGTCAGAGCCAGAAATTTTACTTCTCCACGGTGACTGTCCTAGTAAAGGGTCATTATCCTACGGGAACAAAAGGGAATCATTTAACCACCGACGGTTCAAAAGAAAGCATTTTATTTTTAGATAAAAGTAATTCCTATTTTAATGGATATTACGTTACAAATCTTACAAAAAGGAAAATACAGAGTTGAAGCGACTATGTACTCATTTAACTGACGACTTAAGATAACGCGGCTACCTCCTGAAGGTGCCGTCACAGATGTGTATTTCACACAAATGCAACTCACATGCGTAAGAATCATTTATGATGGCATCACTTACAGATGCCATTTAAAAAATATTTACCGTAATCGGCGACTGGAGAGGAGGAGTATAATGTAACCGTGGTGGCGTCATAAAAAACCGAGAAGGCCGCTGTTTTTGTCCAAAGGCAGCAATTGGCATCGTCTCGTGGGGCTCATTACTCTTTGAGAAAAGAGAGGAGTACACAAGACTCGAATAACTTTACCAGTTGTTTCGGCCTTATAAACATTACGTTTCAGCTGGAGAGACGCACTAGCCCATATGCCAGGATTCATCACAGAATATTTTATCCTACAGAGGTCAGGGGGCTAAACCTTAAGTCATAGTGTGAAAATACTACGTTGCTGGGGCACCTGGGTGGCTCAGATCAGCTCAGGTCATGATCTCACACTCTGTAAGTTCAAGCCCCACGTTGGGCTCTGTACTGACAGCAAGGAGCCTGCTTGGGATTCTCTCTCTCTCTCTCTCTCTCTCTCTCTCCCTCCCTCCCTCCCTCCCTCCTCCCCCCTCTGCTCCTCCCCCAGCTGTGCTGTCTCTGTCTCAAAAATAAATAAAAACATTAAAAAAACTACTTTGCTATCAAAAGGCTGAATGGAAAAAACAATTAAGGAAAAGACCAAAGGATCAAGACAGAAAATCCCAGATTAATATGAAAGTGTCCTGTGGCCACCTGTGCTTGCTGAGTGCCGTAGGTGGTCTCCCTGCCACCCACTGCCCGTCCAGTCCACTCTTATCTGGCCAGGGAGAAATGTATGGGTGATCTCATAAAGCACATCACCAATTACATTAATGAACCAGACAGGCAATTTCCCTTTTTTGAAAGGACAGGCTGAAAGATTGCATCCTTTAAAGAAAAAAACAAAAACAAAAACAAAAACCTGAAGGCTGGGGCATGTCGCTCTACGGACAGTCCAAACTTTCTCTCTCTCGTATTTCTCCTTTCTAAAAAGTATGTTTGATAAGGAAGTCCTCAGGACAAACAGTCATAATTTTTTAAAAAAAGTAAAAATCAGAAAAGGAAGATTCTTCTCTCTTTGCACTAAGGAGACAAAGAAATTTTGATTTTTTTTTTTTTTTAATTTTAGAGAAAGACAGGTAGAGTGCACAAACAGAGGAGGGGGCAGACGGGAAGGGGGAGGGAGACAGAGAGAGAGAGAGAGAGACAGAGAGAGACAGAGAGAGAGACAGAGAGAGAGAGAGGGAGAGAGAGGATCCCAAACAGGCTCCAAGCTCAGCACAGAAGCAACATGGGGCTCAATCGATGACTGTGAGATCCTGACCTGGGCCAAAATCAACAGTCAGACGCTCACATGACTGAGCCACTCAGGTGCTCTGAAATTTAAGTTCATAACCCCTAAAAATCACATTTATAATAGAAATGAAAAAAGGGAGGTTAAGAGTGAATAATTTAATTCCCATGAGGCTCAGAGGAAACCAACTGTTATGAACAGTTAATTATTCACTTTATAAAAACTTTATCGGATTGCAGAGTTGTCTGAGTTCTTGAAATCATGTTGACTGATCAGAAAGGTGTAGAACTCTCAAGGCATTGCTAAATCAAGCACGATCAGGAAGTAATGGTCTAGTAGTAGAAAGGACTGTATCACGAATTCAAAAGGCCTGGATCCTGGTCTCAGCCTGGCAGGGCCCACTCTAGGGTCTTGAACAAGTTACTTCACGTACTTCCACCTTAATTTCACCATGCAAAAAGTGCACAATTCTGAGGCTAAAAGAGGAGAACAAATGTTAAAGTGCAAGACGTTACTTCGTGTTTTTCAAATCTTCTTGCAAGAGGAGTAGACTTTAGTGAAGCAGCCGGACCAAGAGTGCTCTGTGGCCGAGACTGTTCAGTGAGGAGTGACTAGTGCTGTCACACTCGAATGCTGCGTGGGGAAGGACGTTAGCTCCGGGAACGTCAAAGACTTTGATATCGTTCTGCTCCGGGGGCCAAACCCCCCGGGATCTCTTCCTCTGTAACCTGGAATCTGGAGTCCCTCACAAAACGGCCTGTAAGAAGATTCTACAGAGCGTCCTTAAAGGCATAAACGTGCATGTATTACGAAATACTCACCAGGACTTCGTAGTCCGGGACGGTGTGGGTCCCGAGCCCTGCCCTATCAAAAGTGACTCGATAAGTGGCATTAAAAGTATCCACGGCATCTATTTGTCCAGTGAAGAGACCATCATGAACACCACGTAATCGTGCTGGGAAAAGAGACGAAAAGGCATTACACTGTTTGGAAGGATACAACAAACTGTCAAATACAAAACTGCTCTAAACATGTGATTTAAAATGTAGGAAGTGTACAGGGGGGTGCCTGGGGGGCTCAGTCGGTAAAGCGTCCAATTTCGGCTCAGGTCGTGATCTCGTGGTTCGTGGGATCGAGCCCTGCGTCGGGCTCTGTGCTGACAGCTCGGAGCCTGGAGCTGCTTCAGATTCTGTGTTTCCCTCTCTCTCTGCCCCTCCCCAGCTTATGCTCTGTCTCTCTCGCTCTCAAAAATAAATAAACTTAAAAACATTTTTTTTTAACGTAGGAAGTATAGTATTATTGTCTATTATAGTATCACACAAAGCATGCACTTTATTTTAGGTTGAGAGAAACAAAAAAATTTTAAAGAACACCTATAATGATGATCACTAATTTGATACATGAACGAAATCCTAGATCTACCAGGGGAAAATTTATGTATGTATGTATATATGTACGTATGTATGTGTGTATGTATATAATCTCTACCCCTAATGTGGGGCTCAAACTCACGATCCCAAGACCAAGAGTCACATGCTCTACCGACTGAGCCAGCCGGGTGCCCCTACCAAGGGGAAATATTTTTAAGTCTTGCTTTGAACCCCAAATTAAAAAAAAAAAAAAAGTCAACAGAAGAACTTTGGTTATTATACACAAGTGAAACACTTGCTGCCGTTTAACTAAAAAAAAAAAAAAAAAAAAAAAAAAAATTTTGTTTTAAAAAAAATAAAAAAACCCGCCCCATTTAAAAAAAAAAAAAAAAAAAAAAAAAGACAACGATGCTGTTCAGAAAAGATGAATCCACCAGGCCTAAGACTGCTCTCCTTAGAAAGGCCTGTCTGCAAGGTTAGCATCCGGGAACTTGAATGTCCAGCGTTCCCACTGTTCCCACACTAACAAAGACGGTTTACTGGACCTACACCGTGTGCGCCAACAACGTGGTTGATGTGGCATACCTCCTTTCGTTCGGGGGGTCCAGTTCCAGAACATGCTAGGTAGCGGGCACCTATGTAAACCCTTGGTCACGGTGACTGCTGAGTCTCTTTCTTTTCTTTCTTTCTCTTAATGTTTATTTAGTTATTTTGAGAGAGAGAGAGAACGAGACAGAGATAGAGAGTGAGCAGGGAGGGGCAGAGAGAGAAGGAGAGAGAGAATCCCAAGCAGGCTCGAGCCCGACGCGGGGCTCAAACCCATGAACTGTGAGATCACGACCTGAGGTCAAGTCAGACGCTTCACTGACCGAGCCACCCAGGCGCCCCGGGCATTTCTTTCTTTTAAACCCAGTTTGATAGTCTCTACTTTTTAAGTATAGTGCTCAGTTCACTGACATTTAAAATAATGAAAATAGGACGAGACTTGAGTCTGACATCTTGCTCTTTATTTTCTAGTTATCCCGTTTTTTCTTTCCCTGTCCTTTCTTTCCCGTCATCTTTTCATTCAATTACTTGTTACAATTTCAAAATTAGCTTCTTTTCAAAAATTTTTTTGATGTTAATTTATTTTTGAGAGAGAGAGTAGGAGCCGGGGAGGGGCAGAGAGAGAGAGGGAGACACAGAATCCGAAGCAGGCTCCAGGCTCCGAGCCGTCGGCACAGAGCCTGACGCGGGGCTCGAACCCACGAACCACGAGATCACGACCTGAGCCGAAGTCGGACGCTTAACCCCATGCCACCCAGGCACTCCCCAAACTAACTTCTTTATTGGTTTTTCAGGTATGCCTTTTAGCAGTTTTTATATTTTTTTTTTAGTTTATTTATTTATTTTGAGAGAAAGGGAGAAAGAGAGCACACAGGGGAGGGGCAGAGAGAGAGAGAGAGTGAGGGTGCGCTCAAGTGGGAGAGAGGCGGGGAGAGGGAGGATCTGGGCAGAGCCTGCCTCGGATCCTCTCTCTCTGTCCGTCTCTCTGCTCCTCCCCCACCTGTGTACATGTCTCTCTCTCTCTCTCAAATAAAAAGTAAACATTTAAAAAAAAGAGCCCCAGCAATGGATTCCTACACACTTTTCTCGTATCTTCAAACATCCAGTCCAACCTATTCTCCACTGTCATGAGAACACCTACTCACAGACCCTCTATAAAATTCTCAGTCTCTTCAAATAATACTGCCAGTCCTTAAAATTCTGAAGCAACTGACTTTTACAAATTTCCTAACTGGGGGGCACCTGTGTGGCTGGGGTGAGTGTCCATCCGACTCTTAGTTTCAGCTCAGGTCATGTTCTCCTGGTTTATGTGTGAGATCAAATCCCCCACTGGGCTCTTTGCTCTCAGCACACAGCCCGCTCAGGATTCTCTCTCTCTCCCTGCTTCCCTCTGCTCCTCCCCTGCTTGCACACGTGTGTGCACACTCTCTCTCTAAAGAAATAAATACACTGGAAAAAAAAAAGTCCTGTGTTTCTGTGTTACTCTATTCTTTTCAACGCTTCTCTGATTTGTAGTTACCCTGTAGACTTTGTACCTGTGCTTTTTTATATGGGGTTTTTAGAACCAATGTATCTTTTCTTTTTTTTTTTTTTTAATTGAAGCAGCTTTTTAATGTTTATTTATTTTTGAGACAGAGAGAGACAGAGCATGAAGGGGGAGGGTCAGAGAGAGAGGGAGACACAGAATCCAGAGCCGGTCCCAGGCTGTGAACTGTCAGCACAGAGCCCGACGCGGGGCTCAAACTCACGGACCACGAGATCGCGACCTGAGCCAAAGTCGGACGCTCAATTGCCTGAGCCACCCAAGCGCCCCTAGAACTAATGCATCTTTTCAAGACTTTTTGAGATCCCTCACTTCATTGCCAGCCTCACCCCCAGACCAATTTTGTCGGGAGAGAGGTCATTGGTAAGTTTTGTATGTGGTAAGTTGTCGTGGCAAGCCGTGACCAAATCCGTTCACCTCCTTGTATGCATCTCATATGCACCACATAGGCTCTTCTCTATTATCCACCTTTCCTCGGAATTACTCCTCTCTACAGCGTCATGGAAATCCGTACCACTTCTACGACTAGAAAAAGTGATATTAACGTAACTCGAGGTTACCTTTCCTCCAGAAAACGTTCCTTGATAAATCCAACCATTTTTAAAACCCTTTCAGTACAGTTACTAATCTGTCTACCCACTCAACACCTTGTTATTTTTTATATTACATAAGTTATGATTTTAGTTTACCACATTATGAAGAATTACCTTAAACTTGAGGCTTCAGTGCTACTTTCCTTCCACGTTGTAACCAAAAAGAATACACAGAATCATATCCACCAACTGACAGAATTTAGATCCTTAAATAAAACTTTGAACCAACTACCTACTGAATAATTTCGTTTATTCAGTCCTTAGAAATGGACTATCCCCAAAGCCAAAGAGCGTAAGAACAATGCATTTGTGAGCTAACCACTGAAGAGTGGTTAGAAAGGCAAGTAAATGATGTGAAAGCCAAAGACGGAATAATGTAAAAATTCAAAATGTAAACAATGTACAGCTGCAGGGACCCCAGTGAACTGTCGATTTCGTCTTTGTGTCAGTTTGCTCCGCCTTACGTCGTAGTAGACGTTGCTTCGAACCGGTACGCTTTTCCCCAAGTAGTTTAAAACGGGATGTCATAGGGGTGCCTGGGTGGCTCAGTCAGTTGAGCGTCCGACTTCAGCTCAGGTCATGATCTCACGGTCCGTGAGTTCGAGCCCCGCGTCGGGCTCTGTGCTGACAGCTCAGAGCCTGGAGCCTGCTTTGGATTCTGTGTCTCCCTCTCTCTGCCCCTCCCCTGCTCATGCTCTGTCTCTCTCTGTCTCAAAAAAAAGTAAATAAAAAAAACTATTAAAAAAAAATAAAAAATAAATAAAACGGGATGTCATAGACGAACAAACAGTACCTTGTACCACATGTTACTACAGAGCTACAGCGTAAGCTTCTCAATTTAAAAGCCACGTGTCGAGCGGCCAGCAGTCGGCACGGTGAAACCTTACAAATCAAACCAGTAATGAACTTGTGCTCACTCACCTGTAACTTTGGTTCCGATAACCAGGGGCAAAGGGATTTCGTCTGGGAGATCTTTGAACTGGGAAACGTCTGCAACTTTCCTTTGTTGTAAGAGTCTTATTTTCTGCCGTTTCTGTTTTAATGCTGATCTCTCTTCCTCAAAAAATGCAGAAGAACATCTAGAATAAATTACAAAAACCATATAAACTGATAACCATCCTATAGGGAAACTTGACGACATCAGACCATCCACCTCACCGTGCCCTCTTTTCCTCTCTTGAGGAATTTGTTCAAAAACAGGCTCTTAGAAATAGTCATTGTTTCCCTTCCAAGTAAATTATCTAGATCTTTTTAAAAACAGGACCTTGCAAGACTCAAAGACATACAAGCAAGTCTAGATCGTCCTCTCCTACAAAGGAGGAGGACTGGTTCACTATCCTTTGACACCACGGCATCTGGATCCCAGGTCTCCTGGGACCAAATTCAATTACAATATCCTGTTCAGCAGAACAAGATATCTTCCTTGTGACCCAGTGAGCGTACCAATACAGAATTAAAGATGAGGCTTACCACTGTGTAAATGTTTAATCATACTTCCTGCCTTGAAGCATAAACACTGAATTTACTCTTATCTTTAGGGCCTTACTTCCTCTTTTTTTTTTTTAATGTTTCTTTATTTTGAGAGAGAGAGAGAGAGAGAGAGAGAGAGGGATCACACGCATGCACGAGCAGGGGAGGGGCAGAGAGAGAGGGAGACAGAATCCCAAGCAGGCTCCCTGCTGTCGGCGCAGAGTTCAACACGGGGCTCAGTCCCATGACCGCGAGAACACGACCTGAGCCGAAATCAAGGGTTGGACGCTCAACCAACAGAGCCCCCCAGGCCTGTCATACTGCTATTCTCAAATACTGGGATGAACCAAAGTGACTTCAGCACAGCTTTCATGCCACAAAATACAGATCCACGAAACCATCACCACAGACAAGATAACGAACATTTCCAGACGTCAATCACTCCCCAAAGTCTCCTCGTGGTACTTTACTATCCCTCCTTCTACACTGCACTTCTCAAGCAATCACCAAGTTGCTTTCTGTCATTGAAGCTTCTATCTTCTAAAATTTCATATAAATGAAATCATCTGGTACCAACTCTTTTTGTCAGGCTTCCTTCACTTAGCCTAATTACCCCAAGAATAATCCATGTTGTTGCAGGCGTCGATGGTTCATTCTTTTTACTGGAGAACAGTATCCTGCTCCACGAGTGTGTCATAACTCGTTTATCTGTTCACCTAGTGGTGGACAGTCGGGCTGTTTCCACTTTGGGGCGATTACAACTTAGGTGACACGAACATCTGTGGATATGTTTTTGTATACATTTTTGCTTTAATTTCTCTTCACTAAATACCTAGGAGTGGAATGGCTGGGTCAGATGGTCAGTGTCTGCTTAACCTTTCAAGAAACGAAAAACAAAAGAAGCCAACTATCGCCCAAGACGACCTACAGATGACAAATAAGCCTATTTGATGCTCCACATCGTGTGTCATCGGGGAAATGCAAATTAAATGAGACACTAGTACACACCTCTTAGAACGACCAAGACCTGGAACGCAGACAACACCCAATGCCGGCAAGGATGGGGAACGGAAACCCTCCTTCCTTCAGGTGGGGACGCGAAACGGCACGGCCGCTTTGGAAGACGGTTAGATGGTTTCTCGCGAAACGACGCACCCTCTTACCATACCCTCGAGTAACCACACTCCTTCGTATCCACCCGGATGAAGTGGAAACTTCCGTCCGCACCAAAACTTCAACACAGACGCTTCGTCCTTCAGTGAGGCGAGTGGGATATTCGGACATATGATTCAGCGCTCACAAGGATGAACGAGTGGGGCACCTGGGTGGCTCAGCCGGTGAAGCGCCAGCCTCTGGATTTCGGCTCGGGTCACGATCTCAGTCGGGAGATCGAGGCCCACATCGGGCTCCGCGCTGACCGTGGAGCCTTCTTAAGATTCTTTCCCTCCCTCTCCCTTTGCCCCTCTCCCACCAGCGTGCTCTCAAAAAATTTTTTTGATTTAAAAATTAAAAAATAAACCAACAAAAAGGATGAACTGGCAAGCCAAGAAAAGATACAGAGGGCCCTGAAATGCATACCACTAAGTGAAAGCAGCCAATCTGAAAAGGCTACAGGCCGTGTGATTCCAATATATGACACTCTGGAAAATGGAGACTTCCGGAGACAATCAAAAGATCAGTTGCCAGTAGCCGGGACTGTGGGGGGAGGAATGACTAATTGAAGTGCGAGAGATTTTTAGAGCAGAGCAAATACTCTATGACATCCTGATGGTAGATATGTCAGTGTACGTTTTTCAAAACCCGTAGACTGTACAAAACCGGCAGTGAACCCATCAACCCACTCTGGTGGGAGATACTGAGGACGGGGGAGGCTGCATCTCTGTGGGGGCCGGGGGTATATGGGAAAATCTCTATACCTTCCTCCTGATTCGGTTGTGAACCTAAAATTCTCTAAAGAGGTCTTCAAACTATCAGACGGTTTTCCAAAGTGGTTGCACCATTTTATGTTCCCATCAAGAGCACAGAGGATTCCAAGTTTCCCCAGAGCCTCACCAACACTTGGTAAGCTTAATCTCGTAAGTTTTTAAAAAAATTTTTTTAATGTTTATTTATTTTTGACAGAGAGAGACAGAACATGAGCGGGGGAGGGGCAGAGAGAGAGGGAGACCCAGAATCCGAAGCGGGCTCCCGGCTCCGAGCAGTCAGCACCGAGCCCCACGCGGGGCTCGAACCCACAAACCGTGAGATCGTGATCTGGGCCGAAGTCGGGCACTCAACCGACTGAGCCACCCAGGCGCCCCTCTGCCTTCTTTTCTTAATGTATCTCAGCAATCTGTTCCAAGTCAGCACACAAGGAATGGTCTCTGATTTTATTTTGGTTTACATTAAGTGGTTTCCAAGTTGTTTACTATACTGAGATACCACATTTGAATGAATCATTCCCCTATTATTGGACATTCACGTTTTGCCAAATCTTTTGCTACTGGAAGCAATACTGTAATTAGTAACACCCAGGTACAGACTTTTCTGTAACCTAACGTTGTAGAATTACTAGGTCAAAGGGTATGGACATTTGTAAATCTGAGAGATATTATCAAATTGCCCTCCACAGAGGTTATCTAAATTTACTCTCACCAGCAAGCGTGACCACTCACCATACCCCTGCCAACAGAACATATTAAAGCTTTACGAACTAAAAACCAGTATCCTAGCATACTCTGATTTTTCCATTTCTTACTATGAGTAAGACTGACCTCTTTTCATGTGTTTACAAGATCCATTTTTTCTTCTTTCCTATGTACTGTTTATAATCATTTTTATCGTGGATTTTTGGACTTTTTCTTATGGACTCACAGGAGTTATTTACATATTAGGAAATTGGGCTTTGTGATAAGAATTATAAATATTTGTCATGGTCTTTTGATTTCATGTTGCTTTTGGAGAGGGTAATGCAAAATGTTATTATTATTTTTAATGTTTATTTTTGAGAGAGGGAGAGAGAGAGAGGGTGTGCGCACGCATGAGTGGGAGAGGGGCAGAGAGAGAGGGAGACACAGAATCCAAAGCAGGCTCCAGGATGTGAGCTGTCGGCACAGAGCCTGACGCGGGACTCGAACTCACGGAAACACGAAATCATGACCTGAGCCGAAGTCAGGCGCCTAACCAACTGAGCCACCAAGGTGGCCCTGAAGTATTTTTATGCAGCTAAATTTGTTGATATTTTCCTTTATGATGCCTAGCTTTGTGGACTCTTAGAAAGACCTTTCCCACTCAAGATTAAGCAAAACTCTCCCATAAATTTCTCTACCAGTTTTACTGTTTCATTTTTTAAGATTTTTTAATTTTTTAGTCATGTTTACACCCAAGCTGGGGCTTGAACTTACAACTCCAAGATCCAGAGTCACATGCTCTACTGACTGAGCCAGCCAGGCGCCCCTCATTTTAAAAATATTTCAATCATCTAGGGACGCCTGGGTGGCTCAGTCGGTTGAGCATCCGACTTCAGCCCCGGGGATGATCCCGCGCTTCATGGGTTCGAGCTCCACGTCCAGCTCTGTGCTGACACCTCAGGGCCCTGAGCCTGCTTCGGATTCTGTGTCTCCCTCTCTCTCTGCCCCGCCCCTGCTCATGCTGTCTCTCAAAAAATAAAATAAAATAAAAATTATGAAACCGGCTTCTTTTCTCTCTAGGTTGCTAGAGTGGTCTCAATATCCATGAAGTAAATAATTTAGCCTCTTCCTCCCTCCATGTATTTGAGAGGCAACCACTGCTATTATGCATTAAATTCCCAGAGACATCTGTGACACTATCTGGATTCTCTTTTCTTAATCCATCTATTTACGTGCCATTACTATACTTTGTTAATGATGATCACTTTGTAATTGACTTCAATATCTGATAAGCATAGTTACTTTGCTGCTTCAGATTTTTCCTAGATCTTTTTGCTTGATTTCACCTCTCTTAAATCTGAATTTGAGAATTAGTTCATCTAGTTAAAAAAAAAAAAGTCCCAATGATTTTGTTTGTTTTAATGTTTGTTTATTTTTGAGAGAGACAGAGACAGAATGCGAGTGGGTTAGGGGCAGGGAGAGAGGGAGACACAGAATCCGAAGCAGGCTCCAGGCTGAGCTGCCAGCACAGAGCCCGACGTGGGGCTTGAACTCACGACCTATGAGATCATGAGCGGAGCCAAAGTCGGCCGCTCAACCGACTGAGCCACCTGGGCGCCCCAGTTCTAATGATAGTTTTATCGAGACTGATTTGAATTTACAGATTAACTTAGAACCTTAAGTCTTCTTATCAAACCTCAAATACATCTCCCCATTTCACCATCTGTATATCGCACATTTTTTCCTGGCATTGTATCATTTTTTTACAGTATTTTAAGAAGTATATTGTAGCAATAATATGTATTGTACCTTGACTTCCTCAGAGAAAAGAAAAACTACAAACTTTTGTTGAAAATAAAGACTTCATTTCAACTGTAAGTTAACTTTGATGAAGTAAAGATAAAGAACTAAACCATTAAGCAATGTTATAGAAAGGTAGCGGAATAAGTTAATGAGAAATATTTCAACGACACTCTTAAGCTACAGAATTATAAGAAAACAATGAAAAAGTGACTAACATATGATCCTGATGGACAATAATTAGAAACAAGAACCTCAATTTACGCAAACATGTAAAGTCACAGTTTTGTACCAAAATGGCCTAAAGGAATTAATTACCAAAGACCAAAAACTACCAGGATGAAACACACAGGTCCATCTCATTTTAATTCTGTTCTTACAAAGGAGGGAAATATTAAAGACATATCAGCAATGTGATCTTTCAATACATAGATGAAATACTACCAGTTCCATTAAAAGTTCTCCTTGTGTTTCATTGCTAACTACAGAAATCATTAAAACTGGGGCACCTGGGTGGCTCAGTCGGTTAAGTGCCCAGCTTTGGCTCAGGTTATGATCTCACAGTTCATGAATTTGAGCCCCACGTCGGGCTCTGTGCTGACAGCTCAGAGCCTGGAGCCTGCTTTGGATTCTGGGTCCCCCTCTCTCTCTGTTCTTCCCCTGCTTGCACTGTGTCTCTCGCTCTCTCTCAAAAATAAACATTAACAAATTTTTTTTTTAAATCATTGAAACTAAATTCTGTTTCTACTTGCCCAAGTCACTTTATATTTCCATGCCTTCCCTGAACTTTCCCACCATTTAAGGTGAAATAGTCTTGGGGTGCCTGGGTGGCTCAGTTGGTTAAGTGTCTGACTTCAGTTCAGGTCATGATCTCGCAGTTAGTGGGTTCGAGCCCCGCGGTGGGCTCCACACTGCCAGTGAGGAGCCTGCTTGGGATTCTCTCTTTCTCCCTCTCTCTCTGCCCCTCCCCTGCATATGCACACATGTCCTCTCGCTCTGTCTCAAAATAAACTTAAAAAATAAAGTGAAAAAAATCTTGTACGTGCCTCTAATAGGCAGAGAATATCAGAACTCATGACCTAACATTTCAAAAAATTTTTAAAGTTTCATTTATTTAAGTAATCTCTATACTGCATCGGGGGCTCGAACTCACCACCTCAAGATCAAGAGCCACGTGTTCCTCTAAGCCAGCCAGGTGCCCCAAATTTCAAAATTTCACTCAAAAGTAACATAAGGTTTTCCGGGGCACCTGGGTGGCTCAGTCGGTTGAGCGTCTGACTTTGGCTCAGGTGGTGATCTCACGGTTCGTGAGTTCCAGCCCCGTGTCGGGGTCTGTGCTAACAGCTCGGAGCCTGGAGTTGCTTCGGATTCTGTGTCTCCCTCTCTCTCTGCCCCTCCACGGCTCGTGCTCGCTCCCCCTCTCAAAAATAAATAAACTTAAAAAAAAAAAAAGTAATACAAGGTTTTCCAATGTGTTAGAAAGAAAGATAAAACTGGAAAAGAAGTAATGTCACATGAAAAGTAAGTTTTAGGGTGATGGGGTGGCTCAGTCAGTTAAGTGTCCAACTTTGGCTCAGGTCATGATCTCTCAGTTCTGGAGTCCAAGCCAGATGTGCTGCCAGCTCAGAGCCCAACGTGGGGCTGGAACTCACAGACCGTCAGATCATGACCTGAGCTGAAGTTGGATGCTTCACTGACTGAGCCACCCAGGCGCCCCTAAAAAAAAAAAATGTTTTTTAAGCAATTTTCAGAAAATAACAGATAGATTCACTTGATTTTTCTTTCTGGGGTTTTGTTTTTTTTGAGATAGAATGTGCTTTCACTTATTTTATTGAGGTATAACAGACATATAACACCTTATATAACTTTTAGGTGTACAAGGGAAAAATTGGGAGAACCACATTATTTCAAATTTTGTACAGAAAGTGGGAATCTGGGGCACCTGCATGGCTCAGGTGGTTAAATGTCTGACACTTGATGTCAGGTCATGATCTCACAGTTCATGAGATCGAGCCCCACATCAGGCTCTGCCCTGATAGCACAGAACCTGCTTGGGATTCTCTCTCCCTCCCTCCCTCCCTCCCTCCCTCCCTCCCTCTCTCTCTCTCTCTCTCTCTCTCTCTCTCTCTCTCTCTGCCCCTCCCCTGCTCGGGGGTGCTCTCAGAATGGTTCGATATTTGTACATATTGCAAAAATATCACCACAATAAACCTAGTCAGCATCTGTCACTATATACAGCTAAAATTTTTTCTTGTTGAAGAGAACTCTTAAGATGTGTCAGCAATTTTTTTTTTTTTTTTTCTACTGTGGGCAGCCCAACATCATGGGGCTCAAACTCATAACCCTGAGATCACAACCTGGGCAGAGATCAAGAGTCAGATGGGGGCACCTGGGTGGCTTAGTTGGTTAAGCATCCAGCTCTTGATTTCAGCTCAGGTCACGATCTCAGTGTTCCTGAGACTGAGCCCCGAGTCGGGCACCCAGAGCCTACTTGGGATTCTCTCTCCCTCTCCCTCTCTTTCTGCCCCTCTCCCGCCCTTGTGTTCTCTCAAAATAAATGTTTTTTAAAAAGCAAAAAAATTAGGGGCACCTGGGTGGCTCAGTTGGTTAAGCATCAGACTTCAGCTCAGGTCATGATCTCATGGCTTCGGAGTTCAAGCCCCACATCGGGTTCTCTGCTGTCAGCACGGAGCCTGATTTGGATCCTCTGTGTCCCTCTCTCTTTGCCCCTCCCCCACTAGAGCTCGCTCCCCAAATAACAGCCCCCCTGCCAAACAGTGAAGAAAATAATCAAAAAAAAAAAAAAAAAAAAAAGTATGTTCAAAGCCTGTCATCTGAACAAAGGCTGGTTAACAGGATATATTTAACATACAATTATTCTGAAAAGTTAGGTTTCCAGTATCAGTCCTTGTGAAGATGAAAAAAAACCAATGTGTAATGATACTATCGAGTAATTTATTGATTTTATTTTAAACAAAAATGTTATTTTTACCTCCGTGGTTTTCCCATAAGCCGCCTGATTTTTCCCCATTCTACTCTTGTTAACTTTCTTGTTTTTAGATTGGGAAAAGATTCCTTCAGACATACACAGAAGTCATTATCGCCTTCAAAAAGTGGTCTGTAAAACAGAAATGGTATTTTAAAGGTTAATATACAACAAGCTGCTTCAGACGCATAAATTTCAAAATATGCTTTCCAATTTTCAACATTATACTAATCACCAAATGCCATCTTACGCTTCTACCCAGAACACGTATAAAATGGGCACAGATTCAAAGTGCTAAAACCAAAAGTGGTGTTTGTGAAAGTCTGGGAAACCACGAGTGCTACAAGCTACTTGTGAAACAGGTCTGTGCCTGAGGTTCTAGGAGACACTGCTTTTTGTGAGATCTCACATGAGAGTGTATTGTATCCTTTGGGAAGCAGCCTAGCATTTGTCATTATATCTTGGGAGGATGAACGTTGGCTACAAAGTATCTCCGCCCCAAAGGCAATGCCAACACCAAGGAGTCCTCTTGGAGATTAAATCATTTTTAGAAAACTGGAGGACTCGAGAGGGTCAGACCAGTTCCTGGAAATTCCAGAAGAACTCCGATCACACCAGGACACCCTGGGAGTGTCATAAGCCTATGGAAAAAGCTGTGGCCAAAAATAAAACAATCATTCGTGAGTTTGGGAAACCAGGAACCAGACTTAGCAATCAAATCACACGTGAGTTTCAGGGTCAGATATGACCATCCACGAGGTCACTGCAGTGTAGGCAACTGGTTTAGAAACCAGGAAGGGGAAGTCAAGATAAGTGGCCAGCAGAGCAAGCATCAGTGATTAGCACAGATCCAACTCGATTAGGATGGATAAGAATTCAGAATTGTTTCTATTGTTACTATTGTTGAATAATTGGATTTCGCCCGGATCTCTATGTTCTATTGAAACATTTATGTATAATTAAAGTATATAAATACTATGTCCCAAATAAAAAGCTTATCTTAAAAATCTCACTGAATCATTTCTACCATTAGTAACTGCTTCTCTACCAATATACTAGCATGTTTTTTAAGTAGCACGCCCAATGGGGCTTGAACTCACAACCCTGAGGTCAAGAGTCGGATGCTCTCCTGACTGAGTCAGGAGGGAGTGCCCCAATATACTAGCATTTAAAAGTCTCAAGATCTGGGGCGCCTGACTGGCACAGTCAGTTATGTGGCAACTCTTGATTTCAGCTCAGGTCATGATCCCACAGTCGTGGGATGAGCCCCGCATTGGGCTCTGAGCTGGGCACAGAGCCTGCTTGGGATATTCTCTCTCTCTCTCTCTCTCTCTCTCTCTCTCTCTCTCTCTCTCTCACCCTCTCCCGCTCTCTCTCTCACTCTCTAAAGAAAGAAAAAATCTCAAGATTTATAAACCACATCTGGTTCATTACAAATAAGGGAGCTCTGTTTTAGGGTATCCACTCCACAGTCTGTAAATTATGATATAGAAATTATACTTTCATTTGACTTTTCATAAAAATGTGTAACAACTTCTGCAAAAGGGGGGAGGGGAAAACTAGAATGGAGAAAAGAAAAAGGAATCAGAAAAAATAGAATCAAAACAGACCTATAAGAAAGAGGATGGCTTATAACATTTGAAAAAGTTCAATTTTTGGTTCAAGTGATATTCACGATGTAAGCCAGATACATACTTATCTATATTTGAGTAGAACCATTCATATATGCACCATTTATGTGCTTTGGGAAGCTTGAGTAGGTTACGTAATCGAAAACCAATCTTCTGTGAGGCTTTCTTATCTGGTGTTGACATTGTTGCTGTAAATTTCTACACAATAAAAAGAGATTAATTACAGGTCCATCAAATAAAAATGAACATCTGTAACATCAAAGACACGTGTAAGAAGGCAGATTATGGTTAAGTACTCGAAAGGTTCAACAACAACATTTTCTGTTATTACTTAATAAAATAAGCACTCTGATTATTTCTTACAAAGGTAAAACCTCCAGTTTCCTAACCTATTCTGATAAGGAAGGTGACGTGATCGTCCCCATCATGTTAGCACTGCGCTACATACAGGAAGAAGAGAAGTGTGACACAGAGAGAAAATGCAAGCACACAGCACTAGGCCCGGAAGGTTCACCGGTGAATCTCGATCAAACCACAGCACCAGTGCTATCAAAATGCTTCAACTCAAGGAAGAAAGAGCTTCCCAACTATTTTTATGTAGACAGCGTAACAATAAAATCTGCCAAAGTATAATAAAAGGAAATCTCAAAAAATATCACTCATTTGCAAGAATGTTAAAAATGCTTGGAAAGACCTTCCGTGCTCATGGACTGGGAGAATTAATATTTGTTGAAACGTCCATACTATGGGGGCACCTGGGTGGCTCAGTCAATTTATGTGTCGACTCTTGGTTTCGGCTCAGGTCATGACCTCACGGTTCATGGGATCAAGCCCTGCATCGGGCGCCATGCTGTCAGCGAGGAGCCTGCTTGGGATTCTCGCTCTCCGCCCCTCCCTGACTCGTTCTCTCCCCAAGATAAATAAACTTAAAAAAGATGTCCATTGTATCTAAAGCAATCTAAAATTCAATGCACTCCCTATGAAAACTCCAATGGCATTTTCCCCAGAAGTATAACAATCTGAAAATGTTATGGAATCACAAAAGATCCAGAGTAGCCAAAGCAATCTTGAGAAGGAAGAACAAAAACAAAGCTGGAGACATCACATTCCCTAATTTCACACTATACTATGAGCTACAGTAATCAAAACAGTATCATACTGGCATAAAAGCACGTAGATCAATAAAACAGAATAGAGAGCCCAGAAATAAATGCGTGCACATATGGCCAATTAATTTACAACAAAGGAGGCAAGAATGTACAATGCGGAAAGGACAGTCTCTTCAACAAATGGTGTTGGGAAAACGAGACAGCCACATGTCAAAGAATGAATCTGGACCACTGTCTTTCTTACACCACACACAAAAATAAACTCAAAACAGATTAAAGACTCGAATGTAAGATTTGAAACCATAAAATTCCTAGGAAAACACGTCAGTGGTAAGCTCCTAGAGCTTGGTCTTGGTGAGGATTTTTTTTTTTTTTTAATTTAATACCAAAAGCAAAGGCAGCAAAAGCAAAAATTAACAAGTGGGACCATATCAGAGTAAAAAGCTTCCTTACAGCAAAGGAAACCATCAACAAAACGAAAAGGCAGTCCGCAGAATGGGTGCAAATATTTGCAAATTGTGTATCTGATCAAGGGTCAATATCCAAAATATATAAAAAGTTCATGCAACTCAATGGCAAAAAAACCAATCCACCTAAAAAATGAGCAGACGTGGGGTCCCTGGGTGGCTCAGTCGGTTAAGCATCCGACTTCAGCTCAGGTCACGATCTCGCGGTCCGTGAGTTCGAGCCCCGTGTCGGGCTCTGGGCTGATGGCTCAGAGCCTGGAGCCTGCTTCCGATTCTGTGTCTCCCTCTCTCTCTGCCCCTCTCCCGTTCATGCTCTGTCTCTGTCTCAAAAATAAATAAAACGTTAAAAAAAAATTAAAAAAACAAATGAGCAGACGATATGAAGAGACATTTCCCCAGAGACATACAGATGGCCAACAGGTACACAAAAAGGTCAACAGGAGTCATTGTCAGGGAAAGGCAAATCCACAATGGGGCATCACCTCCCATCTATCAAAGTGGCCAATATTATAAAAAAGACAAGAAACAACAGGTGTTGGCGAGGATGTGGAGAGAAAGGAACCCTCTTGCACTGTGGGTGGGAATGTGAACTGGTGCGGCCACTATGGGAAACACGGAGGTTCCTCAAAAAATTTGAAAGTAGAACAACCTTGGGGCGCCTGGGGGGCTCAGTCGGTTGAGTGTCCAACTTCGGCTCAGGTCATCATCTCACGGTTCATGTGTTCAAGCCCCGCGTCGGGCTTTGTGCTGACAGCTCAGAGCCTGGAGCCTGCTTCAGATTCTATGTCTCCCTCTCTCTCTCTGCCCCTCATCCAGTTGTGTTCTGTTTCCCTCTCTCTCTCTCTCTCTCTCTCTCTCTCTCTCTCTCTCTCAAAAGTAAATAAACATTAAAAAAATTAAAAAAAAAAATAGAACCTTATTCAGTAATTCCACTTCTGGGTATTTATCTGAAGAAAACGAAAACACTACCTTGAAAAGATATTTGCACCGATGCTCACTGTAGTATTATTTATAACAGCCAAAACACAGAAGCTACCTAAGTGTCCACCAATGGATGAAGGGTAATGAAGATGTGGTGGGTATGCACATTCACATGCACGTGTGCGCATGTGAGCGTGTGCGCACGCGCGCACACACACACACACACACACACACACACACAGAGGAATATTACTCAGGCATAAAAAACAGAATGAAACTTTGCCACCTGCAATAACACGTATGGGTCTTAAGGGAATTATGCTCAGAGAAGTAAGTCAGAGAAAGACAAACACCGTATGATCTCACGCATATGTGAAATCTAAAAAAAACTCCCTGAAAAACAAAATAGACCAAAAAAACACAAAAAAAACAAAACCCAAACTCATAAATACAGAAAGACTGGTGGTTCCTGGGAGGGGCGGGGGGGACTGAAATAGGGGAGAGGGGTCAAAAGACACAAGCTTCCAGTTATGAAGTCAGTGCTCATGGGCATGTACGTACAGTGTGATGACTGTAGTAAATAGTGTCCTGAGTATTGAAAGGTTCTAACAGAAGAGATTTTAAAAGTTCTCATCACAAGAGGGGCGCCTGGGTGGCTCAGTTGGTTAAGTGTCTGACTCTTGATTTCGGCTCAGGTCGTGATCTCCTGGTTCGTGAGGTCGAGCCCCACATCAGGCTCTGTGCTGACAACACGGAGCCTGCTTGGGATTCTCTCTCCACCCCTGCCCTTCCCATGCACACATATACACAAGTACTCTCCTTCTCTCAAAATAAATAAATAAAACTTAAACAAAAGTTCTCATCACAAGAAACAAAATTTGGAACTACAGTGACAGATGTGTTAACTATTCTTATTGTGGTAATCGTTTTGCCATGTACACAAATATCAAATCATTATGTTGTGTGCCTGAAACTTATATAACATTATACATCAATGACATCTCAATTTTCTCAAAGTGTAAAAAAAAAAAGTTGCGAGATACAACATCACAATATCAAAAGAATGGAACAACACAATCAAGTGGAATGTGGGGACGGTCCAGTATAAGAAAACCATTAACACAGTCTGCCATTATTAATGAATTAAAACAATAAAAATCATATGATCACCTCTATTGGTGCTAAAGATATTTGATAAAATTCAACATTCGCTAAAAAAAAATCTCAGTAGAAGTAGACAGAATGAAAATACACAACGTACCAATAGTTAAATAAGTGATACAGCTAAAGCAGTGGTTGGGGGGTTAATTTATAGAATAAATGCCTATATTAGAAGAGAAGAAAGGTCTAAAAAAATAATAATAATAATAACCTATTCTTCCACCTTAGGCTAGAAAAAGAAGAGCAAAGAAAACCCAAAGCAAGCAGAAAGAAAAAAAATTAAATAAAGATTAGAACAGAGGGGCGCCTGGGTGCCTCGGTCGGTTAAGCGTCTGACTTTAGCTCAGGTCATGATGTCACAGTTTGTGGGTTTAAGCCCCACGTCGGGCTCTGTGCTAGACAGCTCGGAGCCTGAAGCCTGCTTCAGATTCTGTGTCTCCCTCTTTCTATGCCCCTCCCCTGCTCACACTCTGTCTCTCTCTCTCTCTCAAAAATAAATAAACATGAAAAAAAGATTAAAAAAAAAGATTATGGGAACGCAAGCTGGTGCAGCCACTCTGCAAACAGTATGGAGGCTCCTCAAAAAACTAAAAGTAGAACTACCCTACGACCCAGCAATTGCACTACTAGACATTTATCCAAGGGATACAGGTGTGCTGTTTCGAAGGGACGCGTGCACCCCCATGTTTATAGCAGCACTATCGACAAGAGCCAAAGTATGGAAAGAACCCGAATGTCCATCGATGGATGAATGGATAAAGAAGACGTGGTATATATATACAATGGAGTATTGCTCGGCAAACAAAAAGAATGAAATCTTCCCATTTGCAACTATGTGGGTGGAACTGGAGGGTATTATGCTAAGTGAAATTAGTCAGAGAAAGACAAAAATTCTATGACTTCACTCATATGAGGAATTTAAGAGGCAAAACAGATGAACATAGGGAAGGGAAAAAAAAATAATATAAAAACAGGCAGGGGGACAAAACAGAAGAGACTCATAAATATGGAGAACTGAGGGTTATGGGAGGGTTATGGGAAGGGGGATGGGCTAAATGGGTCAGGGCACTAAGGAATCTACTCCTGATACCATTGTTGCACGATATGCGAACTCATTTGGATGTAAATTTTAAAAAATAAAAAATAAAACAAGTTAAAAAAAACAAGGAAAAAAAGGATTAGAGCAGAAATAAATGAAATAGAAAAATAAGAGACAAAATGATGAACCAAAAGTTCTTTGAACAGATCAACAAAACGGACAAACCTTTGGCTCTACTGACCAAGAAAATAAACATAGATGGACACCTTCTGAACCTGTAAAACTTATTTCTCCTCATTCCAACCCAAAAGTCATCATCATAGTCAAAGTACTAAAACCACGGTCACTAACATGGGAGATAAGACCAAGGTATTGACTATCACTATTTTTTAACGTTGTTTTGATGGAATTACCCAGTAAGAGGAATAAAAACTGTAAAGGAGAAGACAAAAATCGTTGTTTGTAGGTGATATGGCTGTCCTAGCAAACTCAAGAAAATCA